TTTTAGAATTATTATAGTTTATACAGTTGGCTTGAAAAAAATGTCTAAAGCTATTGCAATTAGCTATTTTAAACTTAAACTGTGTTTTAAAATTAAAGTTGAGTAGCAGGAACAGGAAATTACTAATACATAGAAAAAGAGGTTTTTGGAAGGTAAACCATGAGTATAGATCACATTTGTAATTAATCTCGAACCCAGCATTTTTTCACCAATAAACTATTCCTGATCTCAAATAAGCAGTTTGAATGAAGTAAGCAATCAAATTTGGTTCAACATGTGGCAAAAGGAAAATGATTGGCTGGGGCTTAACGTTTACAAAGAATGGCTTGTAGTTTCTTTAAGTGTATGGTTTATAGACAACATAAAATGAAGTATACCATTTAAATGTGCTTAAAATTTAAAATAGCAATATGTATATTTTCTTTGTTATTTGCATATACCTCTACCCTGTTAACAGCAAATTTCTCCAGTTACACTCTATATGAACCACATAGTACTACAGCACTTGTCACGTAGTAATCTAGTCATGTCTTTACCTATCGTCTAAGCTGGGAGTATTTTTTTTTTTCTTTGTAGGACTTAAGGAGCTCCTCTAAGAGAAAATGATTTTGTAAATATTAAAGATAGTCTTCCATTCTCATTAAAGGTTCTTATGGTACCTTGAATCGAACACCTTCTTCTAAAACAATATAGCCTTTGGAAGGGGTCAAATCTTCAGATTCTGTTGAAGAATTCATTTCTGTCACAATGAACTGAACTGTCACGGTGCCAAACAGTCCTTGTGCAGGTTCCCGAACAATGTACAATACTGCAACACTCTCCTGGATATAGAGAGCTGTTGGTTCTCTTAGGAAAAAGTGTTCACTGTTGTTAAATGACAGAACTCCAGGGCCATCATCATTAGCAAGGACAATAATTAAGGCTGTTGAAATAAAAATATTCAATCAATAAATGAAAATAGAATGGGTTATAAATGCTGAAAAGAGTGTGGATGTTTAGTTGGAAAGTAGGGCAACTCTTTACCTAAGGTGATCATTTTAAGATCACCTTAAAGATGAGAGAAAAATTTTAAAGCATTTAATAAAATTCCATATTCACTCACGATATAAAAATAGTAATACTGGGATAAGAGGCAACTTCTTCAAACTGATAAAGTGATATCTCGCAGAACCCAACAGCAAATATCAAACAGTGTTGAAGCATTAGAAGCATCCCCACTAAAAAACAGAAACAAGACAATAACAGTTGTCTTCGCTGCTACTGTTCAAGATTGTTCTGGGGCTATCAGCAGGTAACATGCATAAAAGTAATGGAAAGAAAGAGTCAGAGTTTCGCTATTTTCTAGATGACATGATTATCTAAGCAGAAAATGCAAGAGAAAAAATGACTACAGCTATAATAACAGTTCAAAATATAAGCTGAGTAACCTTCAAAAATCAAGAGCTTTC